AGTCTAGTTTTAAATTCCTCCTATTAGTAGAAACAAATAAATTATTAACATGATTATTAACTTTACATATCATAATATACAAAGTTTAAAGTGAAGGTTCTCACGTGTGTCTTCCTAGGCCTTTCATCAACAAATTGACCCGTTTTCCTCCTAATATGAGTCTGTTGGAAGATCTCATCAATAAAAATTTATCTTCCAAGCTCCTTTGCCTACATTACATAAACAATTTGAGATATAAAATCCAATAATTTTTTCAAAATCCTAAATGTATGATTAAAAGACTTACCATACGCATGACATGCTCATGTGTGCTGATAGAGCCACATGTGTAAAGGCTCCCACCCTTTTCAAATGTCTTATTTTTTTGGGCTTGTGCAGATCTGAATCGATACATTTGTGAACTCCAATTTGCTAGCAAGTTGCTCCAAACGTGATCATCAATCAAGTCTGGTCTTTGACCAACAATTCTTGCATCCCTAAACATCTCACTAAGTCTGTGAAATGCTTTAGAATGAAAATTCTTCTTTATTTAATGTTCATGCTCTGCACCGAACCTTCATCTATAAAAGTATAAATTGTCATACACATTATAGAGAAATGACTACAAAACATATATTCAATAATTATAGATATATACATTAATGGAAATCAATAGTAACATTAAACATTCTTCTAATAATTAAGTATATACACAAGATTAAGTTACCTTAAAACATTGAAAAAAATGACTCCGTATCACTATTAAGTATCACTCCCCATGTGGCCCAAGGCTCAAGAAATTGTTGTTTAATATTCTTTGTTATAGCTTGTGGTGCAACTCTGGACGGAAGAAACCTAATTACAAAGAAAAAGTAATACAAGCTATATATGTGCTAAAAATGACTAAAACTTAGTTATAATATATATTTGAGAATTGAAATTAAATATTACCCTCAACTATAAGGTTCAATCATCGATCGATCATGGATAGCAGGATCATCTTCTCCAACCTCTAAATCAACATATGCAGTAGGTGAGTGACCTTGAGAGGAGGAAGGTCCTGAGGCCACAATAGGGGATGGAAATGGAGAGGAGGCAGGTGCCACAACTGGAGAGGAGGCAGGTGCCACAACTGGAGAAGGGGTGGGTGCCACAACTATAAGAAAGGATGATATGGGTGGTAAAATAGAAGTGGATAGTGTTGTGGATGGTGTGGGTACGATAGGTATAAGGGGTGAAGGGGATGGTGTATGTCCTACAACAGAGGATGGTGATGATATGGGTGCAACGGGTGTGGATGATATAGGTGCAATGGATGGTATAGGTATAGTAGATGGTCTAGGTGTAGTGGATGTGGAAGATAAATATGTGGAAACCACTTTCAAAATGTAATGTGATATCTTTTTCTTTTATATTCCCTTCCCCTTATTAGTACCAGAAGGTGGGGGTCGAGGTGAGTTCCTCCTGTGGACATGTCTATACATAGAAAAATAAGATTATAAATAACTTATGATGTAAAAACTTATATAAATTAAGGGACACTCAGTTAATAACATAATTCATAACAAATGAGGGTACAATATGTTTTTATTAAAAAATAAAAACATTTATGTTTCTAATTTTCTTCAAACATTAGGCTTCATCCTCATCATCATCCTCATCATCTTCATCCTCATCATCTTCATCTTCATCTTCATCTTCATCTTCATCTTCATCCTCATCCTCATCCTCATCATCATCCTCATTCAGATTCTCATCCTCATCCTCATGAGGATTGATTATATCAAGACAATTTTGATCAATAAATTAGTTCTAATCATGGAAAAAATCCAATACGACCCAAACAATCCAACTTAAATACAACACAACCCAACATGACCCAAACAATAGTTCTAATAATAAAGTCCAATAGAACAATTCAATCAGTAGACACAGAGTGAAATCAGCACTAATGTTAAGATGCAACATAGGATAAAGACCGAGACCAACCCTAACAACCCTATCTGAATTATAGGGTCTTGCAACAATCCAGAATTAAATCACAATTTCAGCTCATTATGACGACACGTCTGTTCAATGACAACAAAATCCAAGTTAACCTTTAACGAACCTCGGTCTAGACCAAAACAAATACGAGACTAACAAAGATTATTAGAAACAAACCTAACAATGTAACAGAGCAAAACCCAAATAAGATTGATTGACCTAACTACAATTATCAAACAAAATCGGACAACCACAATGTGGAAAAACACAGTCCCGACCGAGGCATCAAACAAAACCTCAAGCCTAGATAAAACCAAACAGAGTCATCAGAACACAGACAACACCAAATCAGTTCAGGACTCATACAACATCAAGTTAGGTCGGCGTAACCAATAAAACCCACTTAAAAATGGTAAAATCAAACCAAACACAACAACATATCCAAACCAGACAAATGCAAAACAAAACTGCATTTATCAAAAGAAGGGTGAAATGAGACAAACAACTTGAGAGGAATCTTTCTCGAACCCAATAGCAGCAGCAACTCATATTGTTTCGTGGCTCGTGATGGAAGTGGAGGGCTCGACACCGACAGTTCACGCGGCAATGATGGTCATGGGTTTGGGGAGGGGGCTAAGGCACAACAATTCCAGTGGTTGGATGAGACTCGCGGTGGGCGTGAAGATGAAGGCTGTGGAGATTGGAGTCGTAGAGGGACTAAGGTTGTCGGGTGAGTGACTAAGGTGAGGTGGTGGAGGTGCCATAGAGAAACGTGCGTGGCTAGGGTGCGTGGTGGCTGGCTACGACCAGTGTCGTCGCTTTAGTGGTGTCGACGGTGGAGGTTAGTGGTGCGGCCAAAGCTCGTGGTGGTTGACCACACGGTGGGTGGATTCGGGTTAATGATGGGTGTGGGTCGTGATGGGGGTGGCAAGACCAAGATCCGTTGTGGTTGGCGTGGTGAGGAGAAGGAGCGGCGCATGTAAGATGGGTCGCAAGAGGGAGTAGCTAGTGGGGGGAAGTTGGATGCTACGGAAGCAAATGTTAATAGTGAATGGGGTCCTAGGTGCCCTGATGAGTGAGGGGAAGTCAGGTGTGCGTGAGGCGGGGAGTAATGTGTGAAAATGAGGGTTGGAGTGAGGGAGGGGCTAGGGCACGTGAATCTGGAGGCTATAAGTCATATCGATCAGTAACTAATTGTTAATTTACCGACGGATATATCTGTCGGTAACTAATTGTTCGTTGATAACTAATTTTTAATTTATAGATGGATATATCCATCGATAAGACCAAATTCTACAAATACTTAAAATTCGTCGGTAATGTCCCTCAGTAATCATTCATTTTTCGATGACTACATATCTATCAAGTAAATATTTGTCAATAATTAATAATTTTTTTTAGTATTTATTTTATGTTTCCATTTCTTATGAGATCATTTTTCTCAACCATAATCTTCTTTCTCCTCTCCTTTTTTTTTTTTTCTCTCTTTATATCTCCTTTTATTTGCTCATAACAACCCAATAATGGATTGACAGTGATAGAATTTTGTTAAACTTTAGGGCATGCATGGGAGTCGAAACGAAAGAGAGTTATGAAAGGATGTTTCACGACTGAATATAATAGTCATATTCACTCTAGTTTTTTTTATTTTTATCCTACTTTTAGCATTTTTTTTCAATACATGCAGATGTGGAAAATTAAACTTGGTCTCGTGTGTTTCTTGCTTCAAACATGTTTTAGGGTTTTCGAGAAAGCATGGGCTGCATATGTGAACAAAATAAACGAGTCACAATGCTTGAATATATGTGTAAGGGCCCAACCAATTCAAATGGAGGGGTTTGCACGGAAAAGGATACCCAAAAGGGAAGTAGCTTATTAGAAAATATTTTTGGACATTCCTTTGATATGCATGAATACCATTGAGTTAGAGACGCGAAAATAGAGAATAGACAGAAAGTAGTTGTGTTATTAGTCATTCCACTGTGACTAGGGTAACGATTATTTCAGAACTCAAATAACAATTAATCTAAAATAATATTATCTAAGTTATTTAGATTATCTAATAGTTCTTTTGGTTGGCAAAAAATATTTTTGTTGCGACTAATATTACCTGCAGCAGTTTTGAGCAACAAATTTGATGGGCCTGAGAAACTGGTTGTTTTGTTCATGACTGTTCTTTAAGATTAGACCTGTTAGTGAATGCAAAGTCCGAACACTAACGCTCTGTTTGTTTTCTTTTCTGTTGAGAAACCATGCCGACTATTCCAACCATTTTATACAACTAAGCCAAAATTCCTCCATGAGTATTGGATGTTGAACAAATATTAGATCAATGCACAAGTTTAAAATAAGATTTAAATTCAATTCATGTGAGTTATGTGTTTTATACACAATCACATAAAATTAAACAAAATAAAAGGCTAAAATTCAATTTATGATCAAAATTTCATGACTAAATATTACGTTTTATCCAAATTTTACTAGTTTGGTGCGTTGAACACAAATCGGATCATGATAGAATTAAACCTACGAATCTCAAATTTTATTTATGATTAAAATTTAAAAACCAAGTATTATTATATTTTAAAGATAAAGCTCTACTAGTCGTACGTTCAATGTGATCCATCAAGTACAAGTCCAGTTTTTATAGGCTTTTGCAAGTTCGCCTAGATCGTATCATTGATGCAGCTAAAAAAAACTTAATTTTGTATCCATCAAGCTAAAATAGCTAACATTTATTTTGTATCTAAATTTAAAGACTAAATCCTATTTATTAATTTTATTTTATTCTTTCATTTAAATACTAAAAATATTTCTGCAAATATTAAATCCAATATATAATTTCTATTGTTTGTTAATAGCTGAATTTTTGAAAGATTTTTATTTTAAATTTATTACATTTAGGTTTTTGTAACATAGTGAAAAGTAAGATCTTGGCAACAATATTATTGAAAGTGTGATTCGTAAAACACAATGATTGATACATCTTAAAGAAGGAGAGAGATCTTGGTTAAGCATAGTTTTGATGTGATAAATCATGGAAGGAGGGAGGAGGAAGAAGAAGCAATAAAATGTTTGAGAAGGTGGTGGAGTCGCTTTTGGTGCAGAGGATGACGAACCTCAGCCCCATGACTTCCGGTAGGGTTAAAACTGGTGACGACGGCTACACCCTTCTCCTCCATGAGTCTGGCCAGGCGAATCTGATGATCCACAAGTGGATCCTCATAGGACCCACTCACCACCACGCGCCACGCCAGCTCCCTCACCCTCTCCAAAACCACAGCCCCATCGCCTCCCCGAGGATTGCAATACTCGTGCTCACGGTCGACCCCAACGGGCAACGACAACTTCCATAGCACGTCACACACGTGCGGCGCCAAAACCGGATCCTCCGCAAGCCTCACCTCAGAAGGAACCCTCTCTGTGCCCCCGAAAAAGGGTTGACTCAATATCAGCCCTCGGATCTTAAGTGGCTCCAGGTAATTAATCCCATCAGAGTTAGTTCCCGCGGCCACACGTAGAGCAGCGTGGTACGCGATGTTCGCTCCGGCGCTACTTCCCATGAGATAACAGTTGGAATAGTCGGCGTGGTTAGTCAACCAATCGTGTGGGCGGGATTTGATCCAGTGAAGCGCTTCGACGGCGTCGTCGTACGCCGCGGGGAGTCGATGTTCCGGGGCGAGGCGGTAGTCCACGGAAACGACGATGGAATTGGTGTCGTTTGCGAGGCTTACACAGGCATCGTGGAAAAAGTCTGAGGCGGCGCTGAAGAGGATGAAGCCGCCGCCGTGGAAGTAAACGATTAGAGGGAGATTGGTGGAGGAATTGTGGAGTGCTGACCGCGGGAGGAATATGCGGGCGAAGGTTCGGTTTGATTGGTTGATGGTTGCGTCTTGAGTGAGGACGGGGATGGGGAGGGTGGGATCGGGTGCGGGATGGGTGTGTGGGTCTTGACGGAGGCGAGTGATGGTGCCATCCGAGTTGAGGATGATTTTGAGATGGTTGAAGGGATCGACTTGGCTAGACACAAACATTGCGGTCTGCTTCTCTCTGATTTGATGGTTGACTTTGGTGCTTAGTCGGTGCTTCAAAGTTAACCATTTCCATCCATTACTGTCGTTTTGGCAATTTCGAGTGAGCTAAGAAACAATAATAATTATAAAACTGTCTAGTTCATATTCAATGCACATAATGCATGATGAACCATCCAAATATGTAAAATTAATCCCTTTTAAGGATTCTAAAAAAAGAATCATAAGTAATTATTTATTTTTTTACATTCAACGTTGATCAATACTTGTTTATTTATCTCACGAAACTAATCCAAACAATATAAACTACAAAATTGATCGGTTAACCATAACGCGGGAAGCAAACAAAGTGTGAGTGCTAGAACAGTGATATTACTTTTAGGACTTTTTATAATAATTTGGTTTATTACTTTTAGGACAACATTAGATGCATGAGAACAAGATCGAAACAAGCCAAAAAGTTAAATGTAGCTAGGTAATCAACTCATCACATGATCGGAGACTTTTTAACTAGATCAAACACTTTGACAGACATGGAAGGGTCACCCACGAAGATGCCATGTCGACCCCCTTCATAAAACTTCCCAACCACGTGCACACCCTTGTGCCCAAGCAGCTTCACCAACTCTCTCTCACGGTCCACCAGTGGGTCCCCTTCACACCCAAACACCGCAACCCTCCACCCAAGAACCTTAATCTCATCCAAAATCCTATCCCCACCATTGACCGTTGGATTTGAGTACTTGTAATCACGGTCAACGCCAACGGGCAGCGACAGATTCCACATCAGATCAGTGATAGGCAAAGGTATTGTGTTATCCTCGCTTAGCCTTATCTCTGATGGACTCCTCTTGGTCCCACCAAAAAACGGTTGAATCAATATCAACCCTTCAATCTTCAGCGGTTTGATCTTATCAACTTCCGCGGCTACACGTAGACCTGCGGTGTAGGCAATGTTCCCTCCGGCGCTCTCCCCCATGAGATAACAGCGGGAGTAATCGGCGTGGCGCAACCAGGGGTCGTTGGAGGCTTTGATCCAGTGCAGTGCCTCCACGGAGTCTTCGTACGCAGCGGGAAGGCGGTGCTCCGGTGCGAGGCGGTAGTCGACTGACACGACGACGGATTGCGTGGCATGGACCATTCTGACGCAGAAGTCGTGGAAGTAAGTGGAGGCGGCGCTGTCGAAGATGAAGCCCCCGCCATGGTAGAACACGATGAGGGGTAGTTTGGAGTTGGGGAAATAATCCAGTGCTTTGTGGGGTAGGTAGATCCGCACCCATGTGTGCTTGGATTTGTTGACGGTGAGATCTTTGGAAACAACCGGGGTGGGAAGGGTGGGATCTGGTGAGGGAGGACTTTGCGGAGAAATGTTTAAGCGTGTGAGGGTGCCGTTTGGGTTGAGGATAATGTGGAGGGCCTTGTAGGGGTCCATAGCTGAGTTAGCAACTATGGCTGCATACATGAGAATGACGGAGACCGCAGTAACCACTGTGTGCCCTCTCATGGCTGATACAAAATTCTGTAATCGCTTGCTTTGAAGTGGAAATATATACACTCACTATTTAATTTTACTATGCTATTTAAGAGCAGTGTAGAAACTGTTGTCTGCAACAACGTCTGCAACAGTGGTGTGTAGATCTTAGCTTAAGATAATTGAGCACAGCTACCAAGTGGCTACGGGACAAAATCTTGGTAAAGTGGGGGGTCCTTCTAACCAGACGACACAAGGTTGCACAGAGTAAACAAAAAGGAGCAATTATTGTTATCTTATTTTAACTATGTCACGTTGGATACGTGTCGTGGGAAAACTGAAAATATATCATGATGGAGTGATAAGTAGCTGATGATAACTTGCGTATAGGACCGGATCAGAGACACTCTGAATACTTTCATTATACAAGTTTTTCTGTTAAATGCTTATAAGAATTTAAATATAATAATGAACCATCCCCCACTCCATGATATAGTAACTTCATGTTAAACGAAATAAATGGATTATATATATAATTATATTAATTCCCTTCATATTATTATTGTTATCCTTCTGTTTATCATGATCATATTTTTAAGTATAAATATTTTTCATTTATTTATTTTTTATAATATAATAATTAAGATAAATTATTAATCAAAAAAATTATCATAAAAAAACAAGTCTTTAATTTTTTATTTTTTTTAAGTAAGTGAATTATTTATATATATCTTAAAAGTAATAAGTTTCGTAATTGCTACATGGCACACAGAGAAAATTACTATTTATTTCGTGCACTGATATACCGGAACCCCAACCAGAGCTTTAAAACTGTACGTCAGAGTCACAGGAGAGCTTCATTTTATAATTAGATATTCTAAAACGCTGAGCAACTCCGCTGTCTAAAAACAACCCTGAATTATTTTCTATTATTCTATCTAATTCGACTCTCAAATTCATCATATTTTTTTAAAACATTATATTTTTTTAGAATTAAATTACACGAAAGCTGCATCTTCAAATCCTAGAAAAATAAGTCATGATCAGTATTAGGCTGAAAAAACATCATAATTAGAAGATTTCATATACTAAATTAGGTTGGGTTATACATCAACTTGTTCATACATGAGTTGAACAGATTGACTTTAATTTGATCCAAATAGTAAAAATTTCAATAATAACATATTGAATTTGGTTTGAGTCAAATCAAATTCATGATTCCTATGAATTTCACCAATCCTTTATATCCTTTTGATATGTCAATTTAATTTTTTATCATCCAAGAAATTGATTATTTGTTTTGTTTTTTTGTTTTTTTCAAATTATAAATTTTATAAATGAACGGATGAATTTCTTATTAGAACATGTTTTACGATTTGGTTTACTCTCTCATGTCATTAAACCAAAAAATTACCTTTATTAGTTGATGGATTAAAATATCTATTTTGTCCGTACATAAATAATTTATATTAAATAACATTATTGCTCCCGAGTGGGGAGTTGCAACCTTAAAATTTAGTAGACATAATCTCTTTAAAATGGATCACTCGAGATTACAAACACTTAAAAATTAGATAAAGTAATGATATTTTTCATTTAAAATTTTTACAACAATTTTACAAAAAAAGGAAGAGAAAGATGTAAAATCAATGGGTAATCTGATAGAAATAAAATGAGAAAATGAGTTATAAAAAGTATTGTGAGAATGCATAACACTGTCAATTTAAATAAACTAAAGGTGGGTAAAACGTAAGCCTAACAACTCCACCAATATATTAAATATTCATCTCATTTTGCTAATTAGGAAGAAGAACAATTATAAATTTCACTTCCTTATTTTGAGTTGATCATTATCACTTGGTATTTTCAACTTGGATTTTGTTCTTTTAATCTCTCCATAGTTTTGTTCATATTTATCATCATCTCCAATCATGTAACTTAAATTTGGAATATCTTTTTTCCTCCTCCCTATGCCACCCTTGAGCCACTCCACCACTTCTACCATGTTAGGCCTTTTTTCTGGACTACTATCTGTACACCTCATAGCTATCATGATGACAGATTTCAACTGCTCTAAATCAAATCTTCCGTTTAACTTTGAATCAGAAATACGAGTGAAGTTACCCTTTTGAACATACGGTGTAACCCACTGAACTATATCCCTTTTCACGCCTCCAGCGAGCTTCTCAATTGGTTTCTTGCCACTCACGATCTCCAAAAGCAAAATCCCAAAACTATAAACATCGCAGCTCTCAGAAACCTTCCCCCACATCGCATATTCAGGCGCCAAATATCCAAGGGTGCCTTTAACCCTTGTTGTGAGATGGCTTACACCCTCTGGTATCAACTTAGCAAAGCCAAAATCAGCAACCTTGGCATGAAACTCAGAGTCCAAAAGAACATTGCTTGCCTTTATGTCTCTATGAATGATGTGAGGATTGGCCTCATGGTGCAAATACCTTAACCAAACAAAAACACCTCATGTATAAACGACAAAATTTAATAAGTTTAATATCATATAATCTCACAGAAAATAGTATATGTAAAGAGTTTTTACTCAACTATCCAATCAAAATTTGTTATGCATGATAAGTTTATTGATTTTTACAATAACTATTTAGGCATCATAACGTGAAACATAAATTTGTGGCATAAAAGTAAAAAAATGAATGGTTAAAAAAAAATTAAATCTATCATGATAAGTGGGTTGGAAAGTAAAAAATCTACTATCACGCAATAATGATCATGTTTCACCCATTGATGAGAAACAAATCACATTGTTCCTTGAGTACTTCCCCTATTACATAAAGAGTGATACATTGTCTTATTATAAGAGAGAATATGGAATCTATCTCTTAATTTATCTTCAAGAATATGGAATTCATCTCAATTTTAAATGGCATATGACAGACTATTTCAACCAGAAAATTTTGAATAGATCAATAAATTACATGCAAAACGATGATACATGATCATGAGTCTCAATACTAAATACATTACTAAAAATTTTCATTTTTCATGGGAATATTTTTGTAAATTTGTTGTAAAAATTGCAAGAAATAAGTTTTTTATAAATTTAAACAATTTTTTGCAAGAAAATTGAAAAAAAAAAAAACTAGTTTTCTAGTAGTGATAACGTAAGAATAGACTATATAAATTAGAAGAAATTGAATTGATAAAGAAATCATATTCAAATTTCAAGATAGGGTTAACTGATTTGATTAGATAACTGCATAACATGGTAAGAGATATAGATATAAATTAATGAGAGGTGAAAGGAGCACATACGCTAAGCCTTCAGCTGCTCCAATTGCTATGCTCATTCTTCTTGACCAATCTAGCCAACAATTGGTGGCAAGTTGACCATGCAAATGGGTGAGCAAACTGTGATTAGGCATGTAATCGTACACAATCAACCTTTCATCACCTCCTGCATAGAATCCACGCAACCCCAACAAATTCTTATGCCTCACCCTTCCAAGTACTTCCACTTCCACTGCAAATTCCATCTCTGCCTTTGCAGTCATGGTCTTCAACCGCTTCACTGCGATCTGCAAAGTTTCCATTCATTATATATTAGCCTGAAAGCTTTTTCTGTGCAAGGGAAATGTCTCACCCCAAAATCTAGGTTTATGAGAAACAAATCAAATACTCAAAAGTTTTAAAGAAAAATATTATATATGAATATAATTGCCTCGACGCCTTTACTTGTTCGACCCCAATAAACACTTCCAAATCCACCCTCTCCTATCTTGTTATCTTGATGAAAATTGTTTGTTGCACGGAGCAACTCCTTCAAGGTGTATATTTCCCATGGATAGTCCCTTTTCTTCTTGTCCTTGCCATTCCTACAAAAAGAAAACGTAACTCAAAATATGTACATATTTGTGTCGATTATCCTCACAAATTTTCGGACATGACATGAATTAATTTGATGAAACCATACTGTATCTCGGATTGCTCTTTCTGACAAAGAAAACAACAGAAACATTTAAAGTGCATTTCTTTGTTGAAGAATATATCTCTAGGAATTCAATTGATGAATAAGTATAAGAAATTTTCGAGGGAAGTGGGAAGGAAGAGGAGAAAAAATAGATTTGTAGGAAAGGACCAAAATATATCGGCAAATGCAAAGAAACAATACAAGAATGAAAAAGTAATAAGGCTATGTGATGACGACAAAGGGCTGCTTCGGAAGTCAAGGACTTTAACAGAAGGCACTGCAGTGAGTATTAAATGCCCCAAATGGTGGTGGTATGCTAATGTTTACAAGCTTTTGTCAACAAACATTTTCCATTGAAAATGTCACCTTTTTTAATATTTCTGTCGGAGTAAACATTCTTAAGCGTTTTATTCAAGAGCTATGGTATTCTTGCAGTAAATTTTACAACTTTTTTATTTATTTTTTTATAATACTACTCTATTTTATCTTTCTCCATATCTTATTTCAGAGGATATGTTTTTTGAGCGAAATTTAATTGCATTTATATAGATTGAATTATTGGTAGTTTAAAATTGAATGAAAGAACAATTCAAAAGTGGTCATAGAGGTGGTTCATAGAAAGCTAATGAAACTAGTTTACAAAAAGTCTTAATCAAAGACAGTTAGCTGTGGGTCGTTCAGATTGTCATTATGGAATTTAAAAAGAATGGTGATGGGTAAGTTCTATGGGAATACGGGTTCAATGAGGCGTTTGATGCAAGCAATACAATTTTTATGAATTAAAATTACTACAAACAGTTTTATAATTAGTTTGTTGATTATCGTTTTCTTCTTGTCTCCATCTCAGTTTTTTTTTTTTTTTTAAGTTTATTCTGTCAATTTAGATAATCATTATATTAAGCATTCATCGCATGAAAATAAACGCAATCTTTGTGTTAACAAATTGATTAAATTAAAATACTACTGTAATTTAATTTAAATTGATAAAGAAATTATTTAAAATTAAACTATCCCAATTGAAAAAAATCTATCCTATAAATATACTATTTGACTGTAAAAAAATGATTTTTTTTAAAGTCATTACAATAATAAAACAATTACTGATCACCTTAGTGTCCGTCACTTTTGGGCTTCATGACATGAAAATATAAAATATTTACCTTCATGATACATTTGCGCAATATATGCTAAAAGATAAGTGTAATAATATATTATAATAAAAATTATTAACATCTTCTCACTTTTTTTAATAATCTGAGTTTTAAAAATAATCAAACCTTATTCCAATGTTTTGTTTGAATTAAAAATGAAAATAATATGAATAAAAAAAATTATAGTCCCAGTGCGAGCAACTTTTAAGATGAGAAAAACATATCATAGTTATAGATATTGGTGTATACTAGTACTAATTTTTTTCAATTTTTTAGGTTACAAAAATTACAATAGAAAACGTTGAATTTCAATTAAGGAGAAAATTAAAAAAAATATTTCTCTCTCGTATTTTAACTAAATAAAAAAAATAGATCATTATTTAGAAAATGTTAAAATTGAATTGAGGTGTAAAAATAGATTTTATTGGTTGTACTTTTATTTCTCTTATGCAAAAGTGTAAAAATATATTTAATTTAATGAACCAGTTCAACTTAAAAAAAAATTAAATTAAAAAAATAAAAATGATATAAATTAAATCAGATTTATCTTATTTAGTTGGTCTACACATGTACTTAAATCAAGCTATTTCATAAATTTATAATTTGATTTGTTTTATAAAATAATAATAATTTTTTAAATAAAAAATATTATTTTATTATATATATATATTAAATTAATTTAATAAGATATTTATTTATTTCAAGAATAAATATGAAAGTAAATTTTTAATAATAACTTATTTTAAGATTTAATATTAAGATTAATTATTATTTTAAATTAATAATTTATTAAAAATATGATAATGAAAAATAAATTTTTATTTTTTATTTTGAATCGATATATTCTCTTATAATTTATATATTAAATTATTATATTTTAAATAAAAATTAATTTTATTAATATAATTTAAATTTTTAAAAAATATATTTTTATTTTTATTTAAATATTTTTTAATCTAAATATAAATATACTAATATTATTTATTTTTTATTTTTAATTAAGTCAAAATTAGTCTATTAGCTTAATATAAGATCATATTATCATCTATTTTAAAATATTTTAAAATATAAAACACGCTAAACTATCAAATTTGTTTGGTTAAATCTAAATTCAATCTTCCATTTTGACAAGTATATTATGAATGTAAATATTATTGAACAAATTTTGCCATTATCTAAATAATAAATAATATTTGAAGACAAAAAGAGTTTTAAATAGGATTTAGTAATGGTATAATGAGAATATTGTTTAAAATCATTTCTTAATTATCTCAATACTTTCTCATATTTTATCTCTTTTTTATCATGGCATATATTTTTACTCATTTTCTCAAATATTTTATGTTAGTCTAATTAATTCAAGTTTGTTAGCAAGAAACCTAACCCAATTTCTTAAGTAGTGTGTGAATTGTTGTAAACATTTTAGCACCTGAATTTTATTTATTTTTAGGAATAACTAAAGTTCAAAATATTGTTGATGTATTCAATATCTTTTTCACCTATAGACTTCTTCTGCATGTGACTTTCTACATCTTTACCTGCTTTCTTATGTCCATATCCTATATGTTGTGAACATCATAGATTATCTTAATTATTATTGGCCAATCAAGGTAAGTAAGATGTCAATTTATGACCGGTACAACATAAAATCAGTAGGTCTCATGTATTTTTCTCATTCATCATATGTAAATGTCTCTTATCAGGTCAAGGATAAGATGACATGTTGGAATTCCATATCTATGTGTTCAACGCTTTTTCTCATAACTATTTTTTATATCACATGGATTAAATTTGAAAATAAACAAATTCCACTGACACAAGATAATGTGAAGATGAAGTAAAACTTATGAGTTCTTTGCATATTCAAAATAACTACTTTCTCCATCTGGTCTGTATTAATTTGAGAAGAGCAGCGTCCAATAAGTTACAAGACAGAAACGATGAAACACTTGGAACATAATTTGTTAGTCAACATGTTAGATTAATGGTGCAATTCAAAACATATAAAAATATTCTTTTGCAATAACTAATCATCATGGGCTTGGGTTTATTCCACCGGAGATTTGGATCCTGTCTCATAATCTGGACTTGTATTATGGCAGATATATGACCATATACTATTATTCTATTCATTGTTTACAGAAAAAATGACTACGACTAACCCCAATTTCACCTATAAACTTGTGGAAATAGCAGGGTGTTCTAAAACTCAACTTTTATTTTTCATTAAGACTGCACTTTGTATTTCATTTACAGTAAACAATAACAATAGTTCAAATTTAACTAAGAATCTAAATCTATAACTACTTTGCAAAAAAATAAAAAATAAAATGTAAGTATATAACCTTATATTAGATAATTAATCAAATAATTATAATTTAATAGTTAAACTTAAATTGATAATTAGATTAATTTTTAACCCAAGTCAATGTTAATATAACTTAAGCCCAACTCAGGTTCCATTCATGTTAATCATAATCGAATATGATAAAGGCACTTAGATTTGAACAGTGCTCTAAATATTTATTAATATTATATTATATTTTTGCAAAACTCCAATATATATGTCATTTTTGTAAGCAAACTGACACATCATTGGGATGAACAGGTTTCGCTATAATTGTTTATTAGTGAGGAAAAGACACTCAAACATTAACTGACACATATATACATATTCATACTGTGCCGGCAGTTTCACAAGAGAAGAAAAAATTAGTCTAGTGATATTTCCAAACATCCTTTTAATAATTATTAAATAATTTTATATTATTATTTATTATAATATTTCATTTTTTCTATCAGTTAATAATAATATTATTATTATTTTAAGATTGATATTTATATATTTATAAAGGATAGATATTAATATATTTTTTTCTAAAAAATATGTGAAAAAAATTGATTAACACTCATCTTTTAACAAACATATTCCCTACAACTTTATTTAATCATATAATAATAATTTAAAATTATTTTTAGTCTCATAAAATTTGTTTATGATTATTAGTGGTAGCATGATGTTTTTCCTCTGGCTGTTGTCTATGCATCTCACTTCCAAAATATATATCAGTTGCTGATTTGCTCACATCTCTACATAGGAATGAAAAAAAATCTCAGAAACAACTCTAATATATTGCAAAAATGATATTTTTACAATTCAAATCTATACAATTTTAAAAAACAATCTATTTTTAATATTATAATAATAATTTTATTTTTATTAAATATTTTTATCATTATTATATTAATAAAAAGAAGTTGTTGAAGAGTTATTTGGATTTGAGTTCATCAAAATAGCATTGCTCAATGTATTAATAAAGATAAAAAAGATAAGATGAAATAAAAATAATTTCAAATTATTATTATTAATATTAAAAGTGGGTTTTTTTTTTTAAATTGCATATGTTGGAATGGTCAAAATGCCATTTTTCTAAACTATATTTGTTTTACGTCAGAAACATGAAACATTGCTATGCTCCCTCCACAGCTTGACGATCCTTTTTTTTTTTTGGTATTCTAATTAAAGATCCTTTAGGTATAGTGGGGCTGTTGAAGATTTGAGATCGTTATCCTCGATTTGATCACATTGAATTAAGACGATAACTGTTATTTGGTTTTCCTTACATTATTCTTCCTACGTATCCTTCCTGTTCCCCACTTTGGGATGGTTGGAACTTTTCATTCTCTATCACATTCAGCATCATACAGTTGGAAAGTTTTGATGAATGAGTGGTGTTCCACTTTTTCTGGATAAGTATAACAGGTTCAAAATATGGCAGTTTAACATCAGTAGATATCATGTGGCCGTGGAAAGAGTTTAACCTCTTAAAACTTTTAGCTCATTTAATGTAAAGTAATTAACTAATTTACCCTCTTTTCTCCTATGTTTTGGATGAGACATAGTGGTAGTGTTCCTTCTGTCATGGACGGTAAAGGATATGAAAGGATATCTTTTTAAGAAATGGATGTGTTTTTGGACAAAAATATTTATCAATGATTTTCTTAACCATAACTAATAACTCATTTTCTTATAGTTCTTGACTATACGATATTGCCTTTATCTTTGGGTCTATAGGAGCTAATCCGAAGAAGAGAAAGCAGTATAAGAACCAATCACATGGACACATTAAAAACGGGGCTTCCTTCATGGAAAGGCAAATACTGGTTGAATATAGATCAGTAGATACATTAATAAGAAGCTAGTGCTCATAAAATATTGCAATAATGCTGTCGGAGAAGTACTTATAAAGCGTCGTCAAGATTAGCTTCGTTGTCGTATCTTTGCTTCCCTAATATAAATTGTTTCGGGTATACTTGGTGGTTACAAAACCAAGTATGGATATTATGTAATCAAATATAATAGTTGAATGATATTGGGGATATTATTTAGTTTAACACATACATCAAAATCAAGTTGTTTGATGCATGGACCCAGAAAGATATTGCTATAAATTGATATGCAATAGATTTTAACTGATTTTAAATTGTGTACGATACCAGAACAAAATGTCGAAACTGATTTTGTTTATGGATATATTTTTTACTCAATGGTGCTCAGGTATACGGTATTCCTATATCTAACACAAATGCCACAGTTAACTCCAATACCATACATTCCAATCAAACATAAATCAGGAGATGGTCTAAGTTATTAACGTTGTGTTAATATATAGATTATACCAGGTAATCCAGTCTCTCATACTGTTTCAGATCGTGAGTTATGTATGCTGGGAATATGTTTTAATTTTTGTTTGATTCATTATATTTGTAATTTCTAGGATTAAATTTTGACTGAAGCTGCATTTCATTAATTAATTCCCAATAAACTATAGTTCTTTGTTTCTGTAACTTCATAACATGATTTTTTATAGTTATTTCCATTAATAGAAGTTGCTCGTAGCTTACAATATTATTCTAAATTAAGCCACACTATTTTTTGCATTCCAACCTATGTATACAAGTACTCGTGCAAGGGACTTAACAAGGAAAACTCATGAGACATAATTAAGTGATAAGGAGTGGGAAAAAAGTGTTAAAAATGAGTGTAAAAAATACTTCTTTGAACCTCTTACACAAAAACAGAAAAAACTAGTGTGAAAAAAAAAATGCCAACCCTTTCAAGAACTATTTTGCAGATTGATATACATTATTGTTCATTTACAGAAGTGTTATATGAATTACCAGGCCCTGAGATTTTCGACATCTCTGTATAAAATCAAAGTAATTAGTCACCCTAAAGTAGCTTTATCTAAAATGGCAAACTTCACAAAACCAAAACCATTATTATGCCACAGGCATGTATATATATATATATATATATCCACACACGAAAAATGTGCACCGATTATCTTTTGATACTGATATCAAATAGCTTATATAATGTTTGTATGCTGACATCTTATTCAAACCACTTAGCTAAATCTTCCTTCCATGCAAGGTGACACTATTTTACAATTATTACCTTTGATTTACTTATCAATCCTTAACCATTTAGGTGTACTATTATAAATACTTTTGTTACTGCTTTCTAATGAAAATACAAAAACCAGATAGGAGGAGATCAAAATCTACTAAATTTATAAAAACTAACTGAAGTTTGATGTCAAAACTCAGCGTTATGGATATAACAAAAACCTAAGCACAGATGGCTGGTGTTTCTCCTGTTGAATTTGTTGTCATAAACATAAGGCCAATTTTACTAGGAGTGCAAGGGACAAGATGGATGAAAAAAATTATTTCAGAATCATTTTATTTCTTTTGTTTCTTTCCACTGTAAACAAGAATGACCTCTTAGATAATTCGGAAGAGAACAATAAGAAGATATTATTTAAAAGTTTATTAATCAATTATCATCTTTAACTTCAAACTTCAAACTCTTTATCTCTAATATATTGTTTTATTTTTTGTCATTTTTATTTTTAAACTTTAAAGACCACCTTAAAATTTTCATCATATGTAATCAAATTGCTTAATTTTGACAGAGTTCGCTAAACTGCTATTGTATTCCTATTATTGTTGTTACCGGTGGCTAAGCAAAGGTTACCGCCAGCATAATCCGAAAAAGTTTATAATATTATCAACTAGCTATACAATATACCTTTAAAATAGTTGAATTCAAAAACAGAAAGTAATTGAGTGCAAAATTATTGCTTGTCAGAAGTGATTGGGAAACATTCAACTACAATGCATGACATGGTTCTGATATCCACTATAAAATAGAAATTAAATGAGCTCATGGAATACTGCATGCATTACCATTTTTGAACTTTACTCTTTCAACCGGATTCGCTTTAGAGTACTCCAATGCTCAATGACAGCCAGCAACTAGTGGTACAATAACATGTACAAATGACTTAGTTTAACTGTCTACGAGATCAGAAACACCGCACACACATCTTTCTTAAGATATCAACAGTTTTCAGGTTCATACAGTCTCTCCTCCAAATCTACAATCCTAACAAATGCCGTAATGTAAATATTTGGAAAAAATCGAAGGGAAAAAGATATGAAAATCTTGTGCACATAATATAATATATTACTTGAAGATGATATTGCTTCGACAAGCTTCCTTTGCAGTTCAGTGTAATTAGTCCCACTCATCATATGTGGAACCTTCTAGACAGATTATAAAAAGACATCAGCAATCAAAATTTTAACTGAACACATCATAATACTCCATGCATGCTCAGTGATAACTAAAACTTAATTAATTTGATATGATACCTCTGATCGGATAGTGTGTATGAACCTGTCATCTGTTTTAGTGGAGGTACAGTTGACCACATCAAACCCTTCTTTAAGCACCATATCTATCACTCTTGACAAAGGAAAAACATATTTTTTGAAGCTATAACTACACTTAATCTGAAGACCTCCTGGAAAAGGATGAACAATGACACATATTGGAAGATAGGTAGTGCTAAAGCTTCCACTCTCAGCTACTACAGGACTCAAATTGGACAACTTCTTAAACTTGTCCCTCTTGGCTTGCAACTGTTTCAATTTATGTTCAAGGTGTTTGATGTAATTTGTACCCTCATGCATGTGATCAGAAATTGAGCGCTTTCCCTGATGATAGTCATCAAGATATAATATACTCAATATTGTGATGCAATAATTTCAATGGCTTATTAATGAGATGAAAATACTAGAGAAATGGTAAATAACTGTGTGTCTATGGTGTTTACCTTAATATATTCGAGAGGCAGAAGAGATCTAAAGTGGGTGCAAAGCCTGGTCATTTCTTGCCTTCTTTGTTTTTCGGTCTCTCTATGCATCGACTTCTTGTTTTCATCTATGGTGGCTATCTTATAATCTTCTCTTCTCCAAGCAGGTACCTTTTCTCTCTGCTTGCCCTTAGTAGTTCCCATTTGACTTGTACATGGAATGAGAGCACTAACATCCATCACAGGATCATGCAAGATCTGATTTTCTACTGGGGTTGTTAGGATAGGTAGGGAATGATAATTATCAGGTGTCATCTGAAAATACAACTCATCACAAGGGTGTAAAGGATTCATCGTAATCTGCTTGGGGCACTCAAAGGTTTGGTGATTAGGGTTTCAGATCGCTTCCCATTTGACTGATATATATCCTAGGATCCTCAAATCTCCTCCCATATATGATAAGAATCCATCATATCTGCCATATCAATGTTCTTGTTCCTATTTTCTTTGCTTTTTTGTCTTTTTCTTATTAATTAATGTTATCGTGGGACATTGTGTTTGCTCTAGCTTGATGGATAATCAAATTTTAAACAGTCTATTTTGAAACTTGTTTGATTTTACATACCCCATTTTTGTTTCGGCTTTCTAATTTGACTTTGTCGGTTGGTATGTTGTGAATCGAATCTAGCCAAACCTTCAAATTATTTCAACCATGGAAAGGGGGGCTGTGTAATTTTTCTATTTTATTCCACATATAATTATTAATTAGGTGTTTATATATAGAATCAATCCTTAGAATTTGAGTTTCCTATTAATAATGCATATAATAAATATTTGAGCAAAAAATTAGTATTAGATAAAATTTCAACTCCAATTAAAGAACCCTACTCATATTACTATCTTTAAAAAGCCATGTACGTGTTTACAAGTATAATTGTTTTACCGAATCTAATTTTTATTCTAAAGCCAATCATTCAATAAGTGTTATTCAATCTAAGATCATTATTACTTCAATCTCTCATCATTAAGCTAAGCCTACTGGATTCACACACGCCTTAATAATATTTTACTGAATATGATACTTCATAATTCAACTCTTCAGTAATATTAATCCTTTAATTATTTAGATTTTAATCTATAATTATATTTAAATTCTCACGCTTGTAACTCTTTGGATCTATTTCTTCTAATAAAATTGAGTAAAATTATTTTGTGTGTAAATTAATTTCAGAATATATATATATATATATATATATATATATATATATATATATATATATATATATATATATATATATGATAGATAGATAGATAGATTGATTGATTGATTACTGTGAAGAGAATATACTGATTCTCAGTGCAAGACAAACCAATCATTTTATAACCACTCCATAAGCCAAAGTTGTAAATTAAGCTAACTTGAAGTTTAGTTAGTTCATCATCTTATAAATTTTTTTTTTTTTTAAGTTCTCGACAATGGTCTCTATGTATTTAAATAACACTTGTGATGTGAGTTCAAAACTAAAATATTTATAATATGCTAGTTATTTTCTTCTCTAGACACGTGTTGTATATAATATAGACGATTGTTTAATGGCATGTAGTGACCGATACCATTGCCAAAGTTATAAATTTTTACAAATATAAATCATTCGTTATTACTTTATTAACAAAATGACGTATATTTTCCATTAGTTAATAGCACACACGTGTCAAATTAAACTGAAGAAAATTCGTATATAAAAAAAAACTAGTGACTGTTTCATTGTTTGGTAAAAAAGTATTCCTTTAGACTATGAACTGACAAATTGTTTATTTAGCATAATTGATTTACTTTTCAAAAATTAACTTAGTCCGATATAATGCTTTTTACAAATAAAATTTTGCTATGTTTTTTTCATTAAATTGTTCTAGTAAAAGATGAAAAACTTGTTTGAGCTAAAAAAATATTATTGTAGTAAATATGTAAAATTAGTTTTATTAATTTTTTAATGCGGTTATAGTTAAAGTTTCTTTTAAATACACAAGTTACTATCTACTTCTCATAATTTTTTTAAAATATTTTTACAAATGTTATGACCAACCAAACAAATATTAATTATTTCTTAGAATTATAATTCTCAAAATATTTGTGATTTTAAGAATTATATTTCGCATGAACAAATTTTCTCTATATCAAATATTATATATGATATTTGCTGAATTGAATTGAGAACTCAAATGAAAATATTTAGTTTGAACTAAATAAGTACTGTTAATAAATAACTTATCATATTTAGTGACCAAAAACTGTTTTTCTCATTAATCCTATGGTCGTTATATTTTAATGGCTCTTTTGAAAATTTAATTTAGGTTATGCCATCGCTGATTTAAAATTTTATATTAATGAAATTAATAAGATATGTAAATTACAATTTTGTTATATTATGTGTTGATTGAAATAATATTAACGTTTAAAAATTCTTAAATGTTGTCTTAAACTACTGAAGGATTAAAAACCTTTTTATAATGATTTTAGGTTTAAATTTTTGAATAATAAATATGGATGTGAAAATAAAAATATATAAAAATCTGATAACCAAATCAATCATCGAAGTTTTAATGAAATTGGTTTGATTTAGCAATTAGTGGAAACCAAACTAAATTTGAATGGTTTAATTGTTTTATCCTATATTTGAACAAAGTAAAAATAGCCTTTATATTTTGATTTTTTTTAATACTTAACCAGTTTTTACGATTTTTTTCTTTTATTTAGCTGATTTACAATTGCTGTGAGTTTTTTTTTAATAATTTCTTGAGTTCTTGAAGATATATGAACTATTTTGAAAAATGCATGTATAGTTAATCTTATTGATCTCAATTAAAAATTCTTAATATTTTTATTTTAAATATACAATTGACACATCGCTGTTATGGTAAAAGAAAATTTATTTCCATAGTCTCAAACATTTTTATCTGTATAGATAATCTTCTTAACAACTTTTTTTCCTTTTAAACATGTATTTTTACAATTCTTCAATAATAAAATTAAATTACATATTATGCAAACGTGCTTTTCACTGTAGCTTTAACGGCGTATTATTTATTTGTTTGGTCAACCGTCGTAGTTGTAATGTAAAAAAGCCCACGTGTAAATGGAAATTTATAAAGATGACAAACAACAAAAGAAAACCAATAATATCGTCAATCAAAATTTAAAATGAATATCTTGGTAATCAATTCATTCACTCCTATTGATTTTTACTTTAAAGATTTTTTTTATTTTTTATTTTTTATTTTTGTAAGCATACTAATCTCAACCTCAATAACTGTGTATATATATTTATTTTCACTTTCAGTATGTTCGTACGCCTTTTTAGTCTGAAAGCATCCACGTCACTTTCGGGGTAACAAAAAATAGTAAATTTAGTGAAATTCTCCTTAATTGTTTGGTAGAGTTTGAACTCATCTAAAATAAAGTATCCATAAACAATTTTATTTTGGGTTACAAACCACCGTTTTTATGGGTAGGTCCAATCAATCACACTTGATTCAACTTTCATCCTTGGATAAAAATTTTTAAGCTTGGTTCAACATTTTTTAGTTCAATATTTTTTGTCAATACACCTTTTTTAACTTTTGTTTTTTAGTTTTCAATTTTTAACATTTTTAGTCTTATACATTACTTTCTTTAACTGTTTTAGTCACTAACATCAACTACACATTCCTATCCAGTAAGATTCTTTGAGTTGGTCAAATTTTATTATTAAAAGTCATATCACTTTATTTAACTTATCCAAGTTATATCTTTGAGTTACAATACACTTTACATATGATAAATTCGAGTTAAAATTTTAAGATCAAATAGTTTTAATAAGAAAAGGAAGTAAAACTATTTCACTTAGATTTCTCCACAGACAAAGAAAAAAAAAATCTATAAATAGGAGCTATTATATGCCATTAACGTCATTGAAAAAGGGACAAATGTAACCCATATCTATTCATTCACTTAGCTTTGAAGTTTTTCAACGTTAAAAGCATGATAGTTGAGCAAAACATTTTGATTCCACAAAATACTAATAAAAAATAATAAATAAATTGTTAAACTACAAAATACTAATAAAAAATAATAAATAAATTGTTAAACTAATGTTGTATAAGTAATTCCTGTTGAATCTTAAAAAATATAATCATAGAATCACACATCATTTTTTTTATTTAAACATTAAAATTGGTGTGATAAAAAAGTTAAAAGAAAAAATTGATGCAAAATAATAAAATTTAAAATTAAATTGTAAAATATAATTATGATTATTAAAATTATATTGAAACAAAATTTAAATAACTTAAATTTATAAAATTAAAACGAATTAAATTCGAAAGTTGTCAAAATAGAGTGCAGAATAACAAATTGTTTTAAAATAAAAAAGTTCAGTAATTAAATTTAAAATTTTTGGAAGTGAAAACTCTCTACTAAATTAAAAATTATAATTGAAATTGAAAAAGAGATGAATTGAAAATAAAAATTAAGCAATTCTAGAATAAAATAAAAATTTAAAACCATTAAATAGCAAAAATTAAAATAAATACTTGGAACAAACCAAGAATGCAACAACAATAGATGAGTTCACTTAATTAAAAATTAAACTAAAAATTAAGAGCATAAAAGAAAACGAGAACGAGACAAAATAACCATTTGTTTCGAAACAAAAGATTATGATTGTGTTGTTATAAGACTTTCATTTGTGGAGAATTGAACAAGAGAAATTAAGCCTAAAATTAATTAGAATAAAATCAAATATTTTTCAAATAAAAATTTGTAAAATTGGATTGTTATGAGGAGAGATAAAATTTTTGGACTGATTTAAAGAAAATCAAATGTTTCTTTCCTATTTGAGTGATCGAACACTGATTTATATTTAATTCTTGATTCTTGTTATTCTTTAATTAAGCTAAATTGAATTTTCGTACTAGTTAATTTGTTTGATTCAAGATTTTCATTTGTAATATTTTATAAGTAGGTTGCATAAGCAAACTTGAGTTTGTAAGAAGAGTAAAACTCGACTACATCAATTTGGGTATTTATTGTCATTAATTTGGCTCATCTCAAATTATTTTTCTCCTGTAAAAGATGACAAAATATATACATTGTGAATATATGCATGTATATTATTTTTTATGCTAAAATTATATTAAATGCATATTTTATGAAGAAAGTAATTAGTTTAAAAAATACTCTTAAACTAAATAAAAAAATAAAGAGTAAAATATCATTCATAGTTAATTATGTACCAGTTTGGTAACAAGTTGTGATTTCTGTTAATAGGTGAACTCTCTTACATATAATTTCATGAAATTTATTATTTATATATTTTTAAATAAATAAAAACTCTAGTGGTTTTTCTTGAGTGCTATTTTAAAAATAAAGCTTAACTTTAAACCTGATTTTATTATGTGTAGCATTAATTAACTAACATAAATTATAAATTACAAAAATATTTAAAAACTTCTATGTTATTATTCAATAATATCTTTAAAAATAATTTAATAAATACAAAATTTTAGCTACAAATTAATGTTTACAAAAATTATATTTAAAAAATAAAAAATATTTCAAAATATCAAAATTTCATTTGACTAAATCATTTACTCATTTTACGCGCCATTATTTAATGTAATGAATGCATTTAATTTTTTAATTTTAAAAAATATAAAAAATAATAATTAACTTTATTACCATCTTAAGAAATAGAAAAATATTTAATTCAATCTTACAAAATGGATAAAATAAGGATTATAATCATCTTTATTATAATATTACCAGATATAGATTTTTCAACAATTAATTATATTTTTAACTATCTATTATTAAGAATTTCTCCTCCTTACTCTTCTTATGCTCAAACTCATTCAATCATTAACTTAAAACCAAAATCCTTAGATTTGTAACTTAATAATCAGTCATGAAGATAATGGTTACGAAATTATAAAATGTGTCTTTTTTTTTTTTTTTTTACTAAATCAAGAAATTGAAGTGATAAATACTTATAATATATATAAAGATGATCTGTTGGGATACTCTCAACTTTGAAAATGTTATGCATCCATATTTTCTCCTACTCTTATTATGTCTATTGGTATAATAACTATGAAATTTAGTGTAAAATTACATATTGTTTCATGATGCATGACATTAGTTAACCAAATACCAAGTTGATCAGGTAGGTTAAGAGAAAACAGCAGGGATAAATCTCAATTTACCTTTCAACTATGTAGGTGAGATTGAAAACAGGAGCGTTAGGGTAAAGAAATAGGAAGATTAAGGACAAGCAGAAATTCAAATGAACAAAGGCAAACTGAATAGTTGTCCTGCTCACACAGACTTTAGTAGAATAGCAAGAAATTGACATAAATGTACAAGCAAGTACAGTAAATTAACAAAGCAAAGTTAAGAACACTTAGTCACGATCAGAAATTGTCCATAGTCCACTCAACCAGCATAATTACCTTGGCAATAAGATTGCATGATCCAGTTTGTGTTGCAGCTTAGCAACATCAAGGCGTGTCATGTCCTCCACCTATTCAACAGATATTTCATATTCTCATAACGTTGCATGCACTTATACATGTAATACTCCTAACATGACTTCAAAAATAAATCTTACACTATTAGCCAGGTATTAGATTTTCCGTCGTTATAACTTTGTCTAATATATATAACTCAAACTAATTAATAATGCATACATATCAACTGTTATTATACGTTTACATTTGCAAGCATAATGGATGGTCCTGTAACAAATAGTTTTGAAAAGAGTTATAATTACAAATATCGCTTATTGGATTTCTCTTTTCTTATTAATTAGATCATATTTACCTTTTATTTTCTCTAGTTGTAGTTGAGCATTTTAAGTATTTAAATATATTTTGTTTTTTGAAAGAGTATATCTTTTCTAAATAAACACCTATATTAGACATTTTTTTTTTAATTTTGTATCTCTTAACTTTCCACGTTATATTTCTTTCAAATCTATCATTTTTTTTTTCTCACTAAATACACATATATGAATTTACTATGAATATATTAGTGTAAATTTATAGTGTCTTTGTACTAATGGTTGTAAATTTGTATACACAAATTATTTATCTTTCTTCTTCTCCTATCCCTCACTCTTAGTATATATGCCGAGCACGATGTTCATGTTTTTCTTTCCATGGTTTAATCTCTATTAACTAGAAGTCTGTATGATGGGAGCAAGCCAAATGCAAGCCTTTAGTAATTTTTTTTTTCTCTCTTTTTGTAGTGAGCATACCCTAGAGTAGTTGCAGAAAAAGCATGTAGCTAGGTACCTGAGAGTTAATAGTATGAAATACCCTTCCATTAGCATGGTTGGAAACACTGGTAACAACATCACATCCTTCTTGAAGCAGTATTTCCATTAATTCAGAGAGTGAACTTCCCTCCTCGAAACCGCTACATATGGAAATTTCCACTCCCCCTGGAATGAGATTGATGTTGACACTCTTCACTACTTCACCTGAATGATCTTGTTTAGTTTCAGTTTGAATCATCTGGTTGAGGCTATCTCTCTTAACTTGGAGAGCACTAATGTTCTGCTTTAAACTTTGTATATAATTTACAGCCACTCCTATTTGATCTGATGCCGAACGCTTTCCCTGTTACCACCCAACACGAAGATGAAAACATCTAAACCAACACTTTTTATTAAGAAAATCTGTAAATATCCCAGAAGAACCGAAGCTTAAACTAAAACAAAAAAACTGGAATATATAGTTGGTAATAAAAAATATAGAAGTAAAGATAACCTTGATGAGTTCAAGAGGGAGTGAAGAGCGGAGAGATGAACCTAGAGCAGACATTTTTGTCCTCCTTTTCTTTTCAACTTCCCTACGAATGATCTTCTTTTCATCATTGTCTGAAATAGCCAACATAATACGCTGATTCTCTTCGTCCATTTCCTGTCCAGGATCACTCCCCTTAAGTGATTCTTGGCCCGAAACTAGATCTTGTTCAATAATATATCCTCTTTCTAATCGAGTGCAAGATATTTGAAAAGAGGAAATATATGTAAAGTATAAACATTAAACCATGACTACGATCTGAAAACTCGATCTTCAATTTCCATACATCTTTCCTTTTCGTTTTTTTAATAATCAATAATTCTGTATTTTCCGTGTGCGTTATTTCTATGCTTTTCTTCTTCTTTTACATAATTGATATCACTTTAACCTTTTTATATTCGTAAACAAATTAAATATACTTCTTGGCCTGTACGGCTTTTGGCATCTGAATGTAATCAAGATGGCACAGTATCCCTTTTGAGACCCAATGAAAAAGGCGACTTCAGTAGGTACATAAAAAATAGTTAATTGTGATTTGGTTCTTCTAGTTTAGATTATTTGCAGTTTTGTCTTTCAAATTTTGAATTACTTTAAATTTTTATTTTCATAAATAAATGAATTTATAACTGAGAAATTTTGTCAAAATTGAATTTAAAAGATTTTATAGGGTGTGATATTAAAGAAGGGAATATTGATATTTGCTTTAGGTGAATTTGATGTTTTGGTTAGTTATTTAAACATATAACATTTGATTGATTCAGTTTATATATATAAAAAAATAGTATAAGATGTTAAATCAATAAGTGAAGTTTCAAAAATTTAGATAGGCTCGGACGAGTTTTTTGGTAAGGAATTTTATGAGAGAAATTTAAAAAGAAAAAAAAAGAATAAGTTTTCTTACAATTTAAAATTAGCTCGAATTCACAGATTAAAAAAAAATCAAAGAAAGTATATGATAGAAGTTAATTTTAACTTATGAATAAGTTAATTTTAATTTACGAAGAAAACTATCTCAGAAATTCTTGTAAAGAAGTTGATAAATAAACCTAAAGTCTTAGCCCAACGAGACAAGCTTTCTGAAACCTACTGTGGAATTGTTTGAAGATAATTTTATATATCAATATCATAAGTCAATCACATGAATCCTTATATATAATATTTACTTATTTACTCATTTCTATATGGTATAAGACTCTTAAACTCCAACATACTACATAAACTTCAAACTTTATTTACTTTAACACATTTTCTTACTTAATTAATGCAAATTCAATAAAAAAAAATTTACATAATTGATTCAATGTTTAGTCTATTTCATTAGTATGGAGGTTTGATCTTCAACTTCAATATAATAAAAGGTTTTTTTTTTCAGAATGAGTTGATTAAGTGAAGGTGATTAGGTGTCAAAATATGACATATACTAACATCAAAATTGAGGAGGGGAATTATGATAATCAATAAGAAAAGATTTAATAAAAAGAAAAAGAAAATTAAAATATATAAGTGTGGAATAACTAAACATAAGTGATACTGTACCAAAAGAACTGATCTAAAGTAATATTATTCCAAGCAAGGGAGGTTACGTTGAAATTGGATGGACCACCATGTTTGTCGGCAGGATGGTTGAGCTCTCTGTACAGATCGAACTTAAAGAGGAATATTAAATACAAATAGTGTAGAAAGAGTTCATTTATGGTTGTTAACATGCTAAAGAAATAACCAATGACAGTATATTTACATCAAGTTGTTCTAATTTAATTATAGATATAATTATTTTAAGTTTAATACAATAAAAAAAATTATCAATCTCATTTTGTACTCAAACTTGAACTTGCGCTGAAAATATAAAATTTCAACTTTAAATGGTAATTTCCTCGTAGCTTAAGAAATGTAAGCTTAAGGAACCCTATTAGGCTTATATGGTTTAACGCCAGTAATTAATGTGGATTATGTCTACTTTCTTTATCAAATATATTCTTCTTTCTTCATTATATGAATGAAAATAATATACTTTAAAAAGTCTCAAATTACATTTGATAAGTTACGAGAGGAAAGAGTTATAGAGTCACTGATAATAATTATATAATAAATTTATAATTTATAATATTTGAACTCTAATCAAATTATTTTAAGTTTATATTTAACTTTTTTTTTATAATTATATATGTTAGATATTGTTTAGATATTATTTAATATTGTTAAGATATTGTTAGATATTAACCATAATATCAAACAATATCTTCTGTTTATTCTGTTACTTTCGATTACTCTTTTAGTTGTATCTCTCTACTATAAATAGACTACCCTATGTGTGATTTATACACAAGGGAGATTAATCTCAAACTCTATTTCTTCTATATTCAACATGGTATCTAGAGCTTAAGGTTATTTTGAATTTTTTTCCGCCTTAGACCACTATTGAAGTCGCCACCACCGCCGCTATCGTTGTCGGTTATTTGGTAGTGTGAAAGTGCATGTCTAGGAAAGTTCGACAAGGAAAGACTTGGTATTTAAGCGTGTCCATTAGTGACCCACCTCTCTTTCTCGGGAACTTACCCGGTGTACTTGGTTCACGCCATTGTCACTATCGCCTTCGCCCTTTATGAGTTCTTCCGCTCCTTTTAGTACTTCCAATTCGTCAGATCTGCATCCGATCCTTCCATCTACACTAACTATGTTAATGTGCACTTATCCATTGACAAGTTAACTGGCCCTAATTATGCCACATGGTCATCAGACGTCAGATTATGGCTTAAGAGTCAGAAGTATCTTGATCATCTTGCCCCGAAAGCACCTACTCTCACTCCTGGTGAGGAAGACCGTTAGGACACCATTGATGCTCAATTATGCGTGGTTCTCAAGGGTACCCTTGATCCTTCGTTAAAACAAATTTTTTGTTCCTACGAAACATGTGCAAAAATGCGGGAACATGCCAAGTTATTATACACCAATGATACTCAACGTCTCTATGATGTCTCGTTCTAAATTTGTAGATGTTATTTCCTCTAAACATCAAGATTCTATGACTGATTATATGGGCAAAATTCATGCTCTTTTTCATGAGTTCAATGAGTTATTGCCTCCTTCCCCCGACCCCGCCACCGAGATAGGACAACGATCAAAGTTCTTCATGCTAGGGGCATTACACGTGACTTGCCGATCAATATTCACATATTCGTGATCGGATTTTGGGTTCTCCGGTTGTCCCCACCTTGACATCGACTCGCTCCACTCTTTTGTGTATACCAGACAAAACTCAACCACGACACACCTGCTTACGTTAATGATTCTTCCGCATTGGTATCTCACCGTGATGATCGAACTCGCCCTCGCAAACGAGGGAAAAGGACGTCCTAAGTGTGAACATTGTGGCAAGCTAGGTCACAAGATTGACCAGTGTTATGCATTACATGAGTGTGAACATTGTGGCAAACTAGGTCACAAGATTGACAAGTGTTATGCATTACATGGTCGTCCTACTCGATCTACCGCAATTGCTCGGACTGATTTTTTCCCACCTTTATCTCGCTAAGGATCCTCCTTCTTCTATTTCATCGGACACACCTGCTATGTTCAACAAATTTCTCAAATGGTATAAGGATCAACAGTCTTCTAGTTCTCATCGTGTCCGTCGCACACACAAGTACATCTTTTGTTGGTCCGACCCAATCTTCTTCGGTCCTTGGGTTTTTGATTCGAGAGCCACTGATCATATTACTGGTAACAAATCTTTGTTCTCCTCTTTATCCTCTCCCGATCCTTTACCTTTTGTTACACTAGGCGATGGCTCTAGAGTATCATCTCATGGTGTTGGAAGCTGTTAAACTTTTCCCTTCTTTAACCATTGATAATGTTCTTTATGTCCCTGGGTCTTCTTTTAACCTCGTTATCCATCAGTCGTCTAACTCGTTCTCTTGATTGTGTTGTTTCTTTTACCAACAATTCCGTGTGTTTACAGGACCGGAGTTCGAAACAGGTGATTGGCACAGGATGTGAGTCTCATGGTCTTTATCATCTTCGTCCCTTTACACATGTTGGTGCAGTTATAGAGTCTCCCTCTCTTCTCCATGCTCGGTTAGGTCATCCAAGTCTTGCCAAGTTACGAGCAACTTGTCCCCGCCTTATCTAAATTGTCTAGTTTGGCATGTGAGTCGTGTCAATTAGGCAAGCATATTCGTACTTCCTTTCCTCGTAGTGTCACACGTGGTGCTTTGTCCCCTTTTGCCGTGGTTCACTCTGACATTTGGGGACCTAGCCGCGTTAAGTCTACTTTAGGTTTTCAATACTTTGTTACTTTCATTGATGATTATTCCAGATGTACTTGGTTATTTTTGATGAAAAATCGTTCTGAATTATTTCATATCTTTCAAACTTTTTTCAATGAAATTCAAACTCAGTTCGGTGTTTCTATTAGAGTTTTGCGCAGTGATAATGGTCGTGAATATCTTTCTCATTCTTTTAAACAATTCATGGCTTCTCATGGTATTTTGCATCAAACTTCTTGTGCTTATACACCTCAACAAAATGGTGTAGCTGAACGTAAAAATAGACATCTTATTGAAACAACTCGCACTCTTTTAATTCATGGAGAGGTTCCTCAGGCATTTTTGGGGTGATGCTCTTCTTACTGCATGTTATCTTGTTAATCGCATGCCATCTTCGGTTCTAGATAATAAAATACCTCATTCCATTTTATTCCCTCATGAACCACTTCATCCCTTACCTCTAAAAGTTTTCGAGTCTACATGTTTTGTTCATAATTTTAGTTCTAGTCTTGACAAGCTTTCTCCTAGATCACATAAATGTGTTTTCTTAGGGTTTACAAGATCACAAAAAGGATACAAATGTTTTTCTCCTTCTCTTAACCGTTATTTTGTGTCTCGAGATGTCACCTTTGATGAGTTTTCTTTTTATTTTAAAAGTCAATCTTCACCTCTGTCTCCATCCAATATTGTCAACACTCCTAGTACATTTAATGTTCCTGTTGTTTGTGACCCTCTAATTGTGTCTTCTTCACCATTAGATTCTACTCACTGATCAACTTCTTCTTCACTACCTCTTCAGGTTTATAGTTGCCGAAACCAATCACAACCACCACCATGTGACTCTACTCAAGTGCCAACTACTCTGTCTCCTCCGAATGTGACACCTGAGTCCGACCTTCCCATTGCCCTCCGAAAAGGTATCCGTTCTACACGTAATCCCTCTCCTCATTATATTGGTTTGAGTTATCATCGATTGTCATTACCTTTTTATACATGTCTTTCCTCTCTTTTTCTCGTGACCATTCCAAAAGCGTCGGTGAAGCTTTAGCCCATCCTGGTTGGCGTCAGGCCATGTTAGATGAACTAAGTGCTCTTCATAATAGTGGAACTTGGGATTTGGTCTCGTTACCGTCTGGGAAATCTGTTGTTGGTTGCAGGTGGGTGTTTGCTATCAAAGTTGGACTCGATGGTACTATTGATCGCCTCAAGCACGTCTTGTGGCCAAAGGTTATACTCAAATTTTTGGTTTGGATTATGGAGATACCTTTTCCCCTGTGGCAAAGATGACTTCTGTTCGTTTATTTATCGCCATGGCCGCTCTTCAACAATGGCCTCTTTATCAACTAGATGTTAAAAATGCTTTCCTCAATGGTGATTTGCAAGAAGAAATCTATATGGAGCAACCTCCTGGGTTTGTTGCTCGGGGGAGTCTTCCGGGATGGTATGTCGTCTTCGCAAATCCCTATATGGCCTAAAACAGTCTCCTAGGGCCTGGTTTGGAAAGTTTAGCAAGGTTGTTCAACAATTTGGTATGACTCGGTGTGAAGCAGATCACTCTATCTTTTATCGACACTCAAGTGCTTGGATGTGTTTACTTGATAGTATATGTTGATGACATCGTTCTTACAGGTAGTGACAACCATGGCATCTCTCGGTTGAAACAACATCTCTGTCACCATTTTCGGACCAAAGATCTTGGCAAACTTAGATATTTCTTGGGTATTGAGGTGGCACAGTCCAATGATGGTATTGTTATATCTCAGAGGAAGTATGCCATGGATATTTTAGAGGAAGCTGGGTTGATGAATTCAAAGTCTGTTGATACGCCCATGGATCCCAATACTAAACTTTTACCAAATCGGGGGAGCTTTTACCTGATCCCGAACAGTATAGAAGATTGGTTGGAAAATTGAATTATCTTACGGTTACTCGTCCCGACATTTCCTTTGCGATCAGTGTGGTAAGCCAATTTCTTAATTCCCCATGTGAAGATCATTGGAATGCAGTCATTCGTATCTTAAAGTATATTAAAAGATCTCCTGGAAAAGGATTGTTATATGATTCTAATAACCATACAAGAGTTGTTTGCTACTCGGATGCTGATTGGGCAGGATCTCCTTCGATAGAAGATCTACATCCGGATATTGTGTCTCCATTGGCGGTAACTTGGTCTCATGGAAAAGTAAGAAACAAAGTGTTGTGGCAAGATCTAGTGCGAAGCGAATATAGAGCTATGGCCTCAGCTGCTTGTGAACTTGTTTGGCTCAAGCAATTGCTTAGAGAGTTACAATTTGGAGATGTCACTCAAATGTCACTTGTGTGTGACAATCAGCCGCTTCTTCATATTAGTTCTAATCCTGTCTTTCATGAGAGGACTAAAC